AGGATTACAAAATATACTTGTGAGTGAAGGAACAGGTGATCCAATACATGGGCTTTCCCAGAAGCAGAGCTTTCAGTCCTACTAAGAGCCCTGTCCCATGCTGTGCCTCTCCCTGGAGTCACCTCTGTGCGGGCCAACTCCTTTGCGCTGGTCAACTGGATCTCGGCTCAGACAGCCTCCAGGCCTCGGCTCAGGACATCACGTATTTCCTTAGCCCTTGCGTTGAGCTGGATACCCTCCTGCAGTCCCCCCATCACGGCCCCTACTGTGTTATAATCCCCTGAGTCTCTGTCGCTCACCACCTCGGGTGGGTCATTCCACCGCTAAACCTCGGCCCCCAGAACAGTGCCTGCCGGAAGCTGCACAAGTGACTGGACGAGTTCTTTCCAATGGTTTGGGTCTGGAGATGGCTGATGCCTTTAGCAGCAGATAATGACTTTAACTGGGGTTATGTCTTGCTCAGCGCAGGACACCCCACTGTGAGTGGCCCTTAGGAGAGCACATGACAGGGAACAGCGAGGAGAAGCAGCCGTCGGTTTCACCGTTGCCCTTCCCTCTCTGGCCTGCCAAGCTCGCCCTGAGCCTGTCTGTGGATAAACCAGGGCCTTTCCCGGAGGATTCCAAGCTCTGGGTCAGTTTCAGAGCAGAAGCGCTTCCCTCAAGTCTTTAACCCTCAGGTAGGCTGTTCAGTCCCCCCAGGGGCCCAGCTCCAGCACCTCTGGAATTTGCCCTGGTCGCCCAGCCCTCTTAACCCTCTCAACTCCCACTCCCACTCCCACTCCCACTTCTAGCCTCTGTCCTTCATTGAATCAAATCACCTGCAGGGTCTTGGCTTTTCCCCTATACAGAGATCTCCCCTTCCTCTCCCTGTGTGGCCGCAGCCGAGTCCCCGCTCCCGTCTCTGTTCCTTCTTCAAGCCCACGTGCGTGGCCGGGAGGGTAGTTTGTGTCCACTGCCACCGTGGAGGCGCGGTGTGGACAGCTGTGTGGAATCGGGGTGCAGGAGGAGTCCTGGTCACAGGGATGCTTGCCTGGGGCTTTAATTAGACTTCCTTCCTTCCTTCCTTCCTTCCTTCCTTCCTTCCTTCCTTCCTTCCTCCCTTCTTTCCCCTCCAGCTCAGAACAAACATCCACTTAGAACGTATTTTAGAAACTTGGAGCGTTACTTTTTAATATTCCGCACCCAGCACGTCGGTGTAGTAAATAAATCCATAAGCCAATTGCCTCAATTAGTCTGATTTCCCGGTGCCCTGGGGTACCTTTTGCTCCTGGGTGAATGATTATCTCACGCTAGGGGACAGGAGGGGGTGTGGGTGTAGGGCTTGTCCTTGCTTCTGACTCGCAAGCCGACGGGGGAAGTCATTGTTCCCGGGATGTGTGCAGAGCCCGCCAGGTGCTCCGTGGCCTTCCCTGTGGCACGTTCCCCAAGTTACCTGTGTCACAAACACATCTCTCATTTGCCAGAATGGTCTTGGGTTTGTTCTGAATCTGGCAGGTCCTCCAACACCACATTCTTAAATCTCACGAACACGCTTTATACAAAAAAAAAATAATAAATGCTGCCTTGCCAGGAAGAAGGATTGTACGAGTTTCAATGTGAAATGCTTTTTGTGGTAGGCCTTTGCTTGGGAGACTTTGTACGTTGGGCACGCTGTCATCTCTGAGGATGCACTTATTTATTTCATGGTAAGTTTCAGCCCTTCGTTTAAGGCAATAGGTATGAAGTGGCTTGTGAACTGAATTTTTACAGATAAATTCACATGTTAAATACACACGAGGAGCTATCATTTTACTTTACGGGTTCTTTCATAATTAGAAAAATGACCCCCAAATGTGTTTGAGAAGTGTAATGCTCTGATGCTAGATCTTGTTTAAATGAAGTGATTTTATTAAGAATCAGACAAGATTACCAGTGCTTTTCTACTCACAGGAGTTCTTGCTTAGTTATACCCCACTACATCCCAACAGGAGACGGCGAGTTTTGTAAATTCTGCATTTCCCATTGATATTCAAGATGCTCACTCAGGCTCCCTGGCCGGTGCTTGCTCAGTGGTTAGAGCGTCGGCCCACGGACCGAAGGTCACGGGTTTGATTCCCAGTCAAGGGCACGTATCTGAGTTGCAGGCTTGATCCCTGGCCCGGTCGGGGCACGTGTGGGAGGCAACCAGTCGATGTGTCTCTCTCACATCGATGTTTCTCTCTCCCTCTCTCCCTCCCTTCCACTCTCACTAAAAATCAATGGACAACCAATAGATGCTCCCTCAGGACAGCCTGCCCCTTTTAGAGCCACTTCTCTCCCTTGTCTCATTCTTTCAGGGGAGAAGGTGAGGTGCCCACCCAGAGCTGGGACTATTTATGATGTTCTGCTGGAACATTCGGTAACTCATCCAGTCTCACGGGGCCTCTCACCTAGACTTCTGTGATTCTGTGTGCTCTGGTTATCTATTTCTGTGTAACAAACCACCCCCACATTTAGTGGCTTAAGAAATTCTTTTTTGTTTCTCACCGTTCTGTGGGTTCTTGCTCAGCTGGGTGGTTCTCACCTGGGCTTCCCGCCTGTGGCTGTCGGCCGGTGTTGGCTGGGGCTGCAGTCCTCGGACAGCTGAGCTGGGCTGGGTGGCCACGACGGCTCGTTTACATGAGTGACAGAGGCTGGCCGTCAGCCGAGCGCTCAGAGGGGCTGTCCACCAGGGAACCTGCATGTCACCTCTTGTGTGGTTCATTCCTCAGGGTGGTTGGGTTCCAAGAGAAGCTGCAAGGCGTCCCATGACCTTGCCTCAGTGCCCCAGGCATCACTTTGGCCACACTCTACTGCACAAGGCAGGGGGCTAAGGTCAGTCCAGATTCGAGGGGAAGAGAATTGGCTCCGCCTGGGGATGTGAGTTGCAGAATACAGATGGGGTCCATTATTTTATTATGGTAGTATGTCAGAAGAAGAGTGTTCTTTAGAGGAAAGAGACTAAATAAATATGAAAGGCAGGAGAGGCATTGTGATGCAGTGTAGGGAGCTTAGGGAATGATTAATAGGTACGAACGAATTGGCCAGGCCTGCTGGGTAGAACTCGGGGAGCACCCACTGAATGAGCCTATCTCCACGGAAGCCAGGTGGCATCCACAGAGAGAAACACGCCCATCCACTGGCCCCAGCCCTAAGTCAGCCCACTCATATTACAGGTGGCTGAATCACAACGTGGTAAGGGAATTTAAATAGCATGGTTTTAAAGGCATATTTGCCTAAAACCTTCTGCACACATGTATCCTGCTCGCATGGAGTCTGTAAAACCATCTTCACAAATCAGAACTGCATATCACTTCACAGACGCATGGAGAAGTGTGCAGCAATGTGTCCAGTGCACGTGTTTCTCAGATCGCATGTTAGACATGCTCAGAGAAGGCTTTGCCCAAGGAGAGCTTATATACTAAGGATCACACTGTTGGGTGTTTAAAAAAAGGTCAAGTTCTGTCCAGGTGCTTGCAAGTCTGACTGCCTCCGTAGCCTGAGTCAGGAAAACAGCTGTCCTGTTGGTCCTTCTGCGTCCTGGTACCTGGGCCCCAGCTGTGGAGTGTGGCTCGTCTGGAGGCAGAGTCAGAGGCAGGCAACAGCCCTGAGGGTTGTCAGGGTTACTTGTCACCTTGCGACATTGTTTCCTTCCCCCTGCATACTCCTCTCTGGCTCCGTGGGGATTCAAATTTGTGTTTATCTGTGCTGAAAATTTAGAGACAAGATAAACAACACTTGAAGCTATTTATAACCAGAGGCTGTGCCAGGAATGAATTAGACTTTGTATTAGACGTGTTAAAATGTTGGATGCCTGGCCCATGCCTCACTAACTTTGACACACGTATTTTGTGGTAATTTTAAGTTTCAGTTGGTTAATTTTAAGCTCAGTTGGTTATCATCCCATACATCAAAAAGGTTGCTGGTTCGATTCCTGGTCATGGCACGTACCTAGGTTGCAGGTTCGATCCCCAGTCAGGGCACATATAGGAGGCAACTGATAGATGTTTCTCTCTTACATCGATGTTTCTCTCTCTCTCTCCTTTCCTTCCTTTCTCTCTAAAAATCAATAATTAACATATCCTTGGTGAGGATTTTAAAAAATGTTGGTCGCTAGGAAAGGTAGGAAGAATATCCCTAGGTGTGAAAAGCAGATATTCAGAGACTGATAGAAGTTTGACCCAGAGTATGGCTATGTGGGATTAGAACTCTGTTGATTTATGAAATACATTCTTGTGGAATGCTAAGCATTTAGGATCCTGGAGATGCATTTATAGAGGGCTCATACTTTTCTACTACCAGGAGGGCATTTGGCAGGGCTGAGGAACATGGAAGAAGGGTGGGTGAGAGAGAGGGTAAAGAATAGGGCACCATACAAACATGAACCTCAGAGCAGTGGACAGACGTGGGAAGAGATGGGCTCCACGCTTGTCTGACTCCGTCCACGTAGATCATCCTAAACAGTGGAGTCCTCGCCTGTTCTTGGCTCCAATGAAGAGTCCACACCTTCTGCACAACAGCCTAATGTAGATCCACAGTTCACCTTCCTCCCTCACTTCTCTTTTGACTCTGACTAAGGAGAGAACTCCTACTGTGTGCCAGATACTGTGTTACCTGGGGGGATAAAACACACAAACTCTCATGTTGGGCTGCAGACAATGAACACGCCAACAAATAAATAATATAATTCCAGATTGTGACGGGTGATTTGGAAAAATGGAGTGGGGTTGCTAAAGAATAGCAGTGGGTTCCCGGTTTGGCTAGGATGTTGGGGAGGTAACACGAATGATCCCGGAGTCATTGATTAAAACTCTGACACACGTACTTTGTGGTAATTTTAAGTTTCTGAAGTTGCATGTTGTTAAGGTTCAAATTAAAACCATTGTTGCCCTTTCTGAGCCGAATGCTGAATGGACAGCATTTCTGGGGAGCAGGGGGAAGCCGCCCGGATGGCCAGGCCCCTCCTGGATGACACTTTCCTCATCACCGCTTTCTCTCCTCAGGGAAAGGAGACGTGTTTGGAGATGTGTTCTGGAAGGAAGCCACCCTTGCCCAGTCCTGCGCCAACGTTAGGGCCCTGACCTACTGTGACCTGCACGTGATCAAGCGAGACGCCCTGCAGAAAGTGCTGGAATTCTACACGGCCTTCTCCCACTCCTTTTCCAGGAACCTCATTCTCACTTACAACCTGAGGAAGAGGGTGAGCCTGCAGTTTCAGTTTCTTGTCTACCAAGAATAGTCCCTGCGCACCTAGGATGGCCCCGTGGCCCAGGAACATCCTTTCCTGGTTTATTTAAGTGGCGCCATGGGTCCTATAAGAGTTCTGTCCGCTGCTTGCTCTTCAGAGTTTTTGCTATAAAATGAAGGGGAGAGGAATGTTACTAGATGAAAAGATGGGTGCGTTTTGGAGTAGAAGCGATTCATTCATGAGTGTGTCTCTGGGCTTTTCCCCAACAGTATCTAGACCTTCTAGCATTTTGAAAAGGTGAATAAAACATGAGATCGTTAGTCAATAAAATGGCTGAGTGGGGCCCCTCAGTTAATGTAAACTGAATTTTGCTGGTGACAGGGACCCCCTGAGTGGTGTGAGGATATTAGCCAGCTGGCAATAATAACTTTTTAAAAGATGTGAAAATGATCTAGGTGGGTCCAGAAAATAAGAATGGTTTGGACTACGATGGCCTAGAGAATATTTTAGATACAAATGCCAATGTTACCAGTTGAGGAACAGTAGTAGCTTTGAGAGCCAAAAGATTTCTCATCTGACGTTGTTTCCTGAGTCTTCAAATCATCAGAATTGCTCCATCTGACTGTGAGGATTAAAATATTTGTCTTGTACTCTAGGTTTTCGTGATTGATGTTCTAGCACTTTAACTCTTTTAGTTAAATCAGTAACCAATGTAAGTCCGTCCGTACCTACAGAAATTGTCTGGAAGGATTGTCATAGGAATCTTGCCCGAAAGACCTCATAATCTCCCCCCCAAGGTCCCTGTCTCTCTGACATTGCCCATGGTGCCCCGAGGTTCCAAGTTAGAAGCCCCGGCTCCTTGCAATGCCTCTTCCCCTCTCCCACGCCTCGGGTGTCCTGCTCATCAGATCCCGTTGGTTGCACCCAGGCTCTCACGCCTGTGCCCACACTGTGCTTCCACCTCAGGGCTCGCCCTGAGCTCTCGGGACACAGCGCCCCTGACACCGACCCTCCCCACATCCTGGACGGTGCCCAAGGCCCCAACGCACCCTCTTCCTAGCGTCTGTCCTCAGTGCAGTGCTTTCTCTCCTGGCCACTTGAGTGACTTTAAAAACGAATCGGGTCACGACCCTCCCCCCTTTAAGGATGTTTTGCTCCCACTCTGACTGCAGGATAATGCCCGTATCCTTCAGCACGGTTTATATGCTTTACACATCTGGCCCGACGTAACCCCCAAGGCCCAACCTCAGTCCCTCGCCCCACGCCCACCCCTGCCACCCTGGGAACTCCTCGCAGCTCTGCAGCTCTGAAGCCACACCACCCCCTGCAGAGCGCGGTGCCCCTGCCTGCGGCCTCCTGGGCGCAGGGTTCCTTCCTTTCCTTCTGTGTGTGACCAACGCCTGTTAACCCTTGAGACGCCGCTGAAGTGTTTATTTGTTCATTCGTCAAACACGCCAACTGAATTAGATAGATATATAAAGCTGAATAACACTCAGTCCCCCATCTCCGGGAGCCTAGAGGCTTACAGAGAAGGTGGAAGGATGGTGCAGTATGTGATGCTAAGTTCAGGGAGCACGGCTTGCACAAAGGACTGTGGGAGTGTAAAGGGGGAGGACGGCTGAGGGGGAATTGAGGAGACTGTGTCGGGTGATACCTGAGCTGAGGCTCAGACGGTGAGTTTGCAAATAAAAGAGAGAGAGAGGAAGCAGGTGTTCCAGTTGGAGGGGCAGTTTGAGCAAAGGCAGAGATTCTAATTGCCTGTCTTTGGGGTGTCCTAACGCTATGCTTCCCAGTATTTTAAATCCCTTGGATCGATTGCTGTATGAATTGTTCAGAGACCTGGGAGGGCAAGGGCTTGGTGCCTCGGTGTCCCCAGTGCTAAACCCAGTGCAGAGAATTAAAAAACATTTGGGGCCGGCAAGGAGAAAGCGATGGGATCTCTGGGCCTCAGTTTCCACCTCATAAAAACGTGAGGTGGTGGCTAGACGATTTTTTTCGGTTCTGTGATTTGAAAGCTGGTCATTTAAATTCCAGTGGGGAATGGGCAGGGGCGGAGAAAAGAGCATCCGCAGCGCTTCCTTGCTTATCTGGGAACATGGAATGCTTGCTGGTGATACTTTTAGCCAAGTAGAATCTCTTAAAAAGTGTATTTTCTGATTTATTTCCTCTTTTCCTGAAAGCAAGTTGATTATAATCAACTTTCAGTGTTGCTGATAATATAGGTTGGAAAATGTGCAAGTTTGGGTTATTTGGAGGAGTAATCATCTTAGAATAATTGCAGAGCTAACCTGTCTTTAAAGGGCGACAATAAAAATAACAACACCTCAGCGGTCAGGTTGGTTTTGTAAGTCCAGAACGATTGGTGACTCTGCAGAAGAGAAGACTCGGGGGCCGCAGTTCTGAAGGGCTGTCGTGGAGGAGCTTTAGCAAGGTCCGTGTGGCACAGGGTGCAGAGACAGAATCAAAGCTGCAGGCAGTGTAAGAAAGACCTTGGAAAGATCAGAGCTGCCCAACGAGTGCAGTAGGCAGCTTCGAGTGATATCAGGTTTCTTGTCCTGAAGGTATTTACGCATCCCCTGGGGACCCCTCAGAGCCATTTCAAGGGGACTTAGGTACCGGGTGGAGAGTCAAATTTCCTTTCAGTCGCCATTGCCAATGAGTCTGGTATGGATGCAAGAGAATTTTAGTGAGATCCTTTATATAAAGAGGTAGCCATTCTTTTTCTTGGAAAAAAGAGGCTTGTCGTTTTAGTGTTGCCATTGTAGTCTCCCATTGTGTCCTTCTGAGAATTAATTTATAGCTACATAGGGCATAGAAGATGAGAACATTCCATGCATGAATTATCCTTGTAGCTAATTTTTTTCTGGCAGAGTGAAGTGTATTCTTGTGGTTGTTTCTATCTTGGCAAAATCGAGCGTGTTATTTGCAAAGATTCCTGAGAACACAGTGCCTTTGACATCTGTTTGGGGAAGTGTTTGATCTCTCAGGCCTCCTCCAGGGCACAGCAGCAACTCGGAGCTGGAAGCTGCCTGAGTGGCCATCCAGTGTCTCCTGCATTCCCCATCACCCTCATTTCACAAATACGACCACAGGGCTAATAATGCATGAGAAATGGCCTCTTGACCAGGCCTGTTCTTGCTTTGCACAGCTCATGGCCTACTCTGGCCTCTGTGTCTCAGCTTCATCCTTGCATCCCTAAACTACGTGTATGAGACCCAGCTCTCAGCACTGCTCAGGAACAGAATTGTTGCTTTACTCTATTTCCCCGAAAGACACCTAAGGTCATAGGTAGGAATGATGGGAGGCAGAACCTGGAAACCAACCCAGCATTTGAGTTTTGGTTTTCCTTGCCCGTGGACACTGAGCAAGAGGAGACCCCAGTCTGTGTCCCGCCTCTGCCATTTAGTGCTTCTGTAAGTTAAAAATGCTTTCTCATCTGTAAAATGGGGGCAATGAAAAGCTCCACCTTGTAGATAATTGTGAGGGTTAAATAAGATAATACTTGCAAAGCTTTTACACACAGGGCCCGCACGTAGTATGTGCTCAATTAAATTGTGAGTTATTATGATTTTGTTTTGTCTGCTTGACACCCTGTTCCATTCTACTCTTTATTATCTGGAGCCTTTTGGAAAATAAAAAAAAGGCAATTCCTCTGACTTTGTGGCCAGTTCCACTCATGGAGGGGAAGATTTGGCTGTTTCGACATCTCGGTTCAGTCACCAAGGAGTCTGGGTTTTGCCAAGAGGAAAGCACTGCATCTTCTTTCTTCTGAGGGAGATGGCATGTAGTCGTCCATGAAAATAAGGGGCAGTGGAGCCTTCCTCACCCCCAACCCTTGGCTCCCTGGGATGCCAGGTTCTCTTGGCATTTTCCTCCAGGCCCCGAGTCATCTTCTGTCTGCAATCAGAGCTTTAATAGAAACATTAATTAGAATAGAAACACTATTAATAGAAACATTCTTACCAACTCCAGATACTGTGCAAGCTACGTCACGATGTCAGTATGTGCTTTATGTCAGCTTATTAAATCCTCAGAACAGCCTCACCACGTTACAGAAGCAACCCTGTTTCTCAAGGGAATAAACCAGGACCCCGTGGAGAAGAGAATCATTTTCCCAAGGTCACCAGCTGAGAAGTGGCAGGTTCCAAGCCCGGCACGTGCCCCTCCTGCTAAGCAGCATCACGTCCTGAGTTCGGCTTCGTTAAGTGTGGCTCTCAGCTTTTCCCACGGGCATCCTTTGGCTTCTGCTTTCTCCCAGTCTGTCGACTTTTTGGGGCGAGGGGCACAGGTTATCTCCAGAGTATCTCCAATGACCTTCTTCACTCCCCACCCCCAGCACACCCAGAAGCTTGTATGGCAAAATCACAGTAACATCCCAAGTTGGGAGACATGAGAAGTGTCCCCTCATAGGGACACATTGCTGGGTGTGCCGGGGAGGCATGCCCCACTTCACTTTGGTAGGCAGGAGGCTAACCTGGCTGTGACATCAGTAAGTTACCAGGAAGACCACCAGCTTTGGGGCTGAGGACCTAAGCTGGAGTCCTGGTTTGACTACTGACTAGCTGTGTGCCTTTAGGCGAGTTGCTGAACCATCCTAAGCCTCAGTTTCCTCATCTGTAACAAGGATCTAATAAAAGTCCCTCCTTATTAGGTGTATTGAGTAGGTCACATATATTAAACCAGCAGACATTACAGTGACATATACCTGCAGGAACCACTCGACACACACACCTGTCTCCTCCCATTGCCTGACCCTTCCCCCGACCGTCAGCTTCCTCCACCCTTAGTGGTCTGAGTTCGTGCTTTGCTCCCTTTTGCGTATAGCCAGATCCTTTCTTTAATGGCTGTTTCACTCGGGCTCTACTTTCCTTTCGGCCTGGGATGCAGTTTCACGCCCAGGTGCTAGCTCGGGTGTGTGTGTGTGTGAGGGGGTATTGGGTCCTCCAGCTCATCCGTAGGACAGGCAGGAAATGTGCCACAGCTGGATGGCGTCCTGCAGACACACATGCAGGTAATTCACAGCAGCCAGCGCCCGGGATGGTTGGCACATA